CCAACATGGCTTGCATTCAGGTGTCTGAGTGATCTTCCTTTCACTATATCACTATATCATGCCTCCACTGTCAATCCCTCCCTATGTCCCACCATAGAATATTTAAAAGTCTGGAATGGACCCCATTTACAGGTGAGGAAACTAAGGATCAGAGGTTGGCTTGCCACCTCAAATCTAAACTCTGCATAGCTTCCAAGAATCTCTATAACCAGGTCTCACTCCACTTTCTACTCATGGTTCTCCATAGCAGTGATCTTCAAAATTGTCTGCCCTTCCAATCCTGAGAGAATATATAAGAACCATGAAGTCCCTTGCATATTTTTTAAGATAGTAATTGCAAGCTTTATCTAAGATGAAACATTTTTAAGCCAATCAATTTTTTACATTCTTTTTTTTTTTTGGAAACAGAGTCTCACTCTGTCACCCAAGCTGGAGTGAAGTGGCACTATCATGGCTCACTACAATCTCTGCCTCCTGGACTCAAACAATTCTCCCACCTCAGCCTACAGAGTATTTGGGAATACAGGTGCACACCACCACACCCAGTCTAATTTTTTTTTTTTTTTTTTGAGATGGAGTCTCACTCTGTTGCCCAGGCTGGAGTGCAGTGGTATGATCTCAGCTCACTGCAACCTCTGCCTCCCGGTGATTCTCCTGCCTCAGCCATCAGAGTAGCTGGGACTACAGGTGCACGCCACCATGCCCCGCTAATTTTTGTATTTTTAGTAGAGATGGGGTTTCACCATGTTGACCAGGCTAATCTCAAACTCCTGACCTCATGATCCTCCCATCTTGGCCTCCCAAAGTGCTGGGATTACAGGTGTAAGCCACCGCGCCTGGCCCTACCCAGCCTAATTTGGTTTTTTTGTTTGTTTGTTTTGGTTTTTTTTGAGATGGAGTCTTGCTTTGTCACCCAGGCTGGAGTGCAGTGGCATGATTTCAGCTCACTGCAATGTCTGTCTCCTGGGTTCAAGCAATTCTTCTGCCTCAGCCTCCCGAGTAGCTGGGACTATAGGCATGCTCCACTAATAGGCATGCCTGGCTAATTTTTGTATTTTTAGTAGAGATGGGGTTTCACCATGTTGGCCAGGCTGGTCTTGAACTCCTGACTTCACAATCCACTCGCCTCAGCCTCCCAAGGTGCTGGGATTATAGGTGTGAGGCACCGCGCCCAGCCCTGGGCCTTTTTAATTTTTTTTTTTTTCATGACTATCTTTTTCCTGCAGTAATTTTTTAAATTCTTAAATTCTTGACATTATAGAACTAAACTGAAATTTATTAACATTCCAGTCTTACATTTCTTATTGACAAACAGAAATAATTTTCATAAGTCAAAAAACTCCAAACAAAACTAAAACCAGGGAAAAGCTTGTAATATTAAATATGTGTTTCAACATTGACAGCTGAACAGAGAACATTATTTTAAAATTCTTGGCAGATGATAAAGTTGTGTAGAAACTGAATACTTACAAATTATTTACAACATCGAATCAGGCCAGGCGTGAGTAATCCCAGCACTTTGGGAGGCCAAGGTGGGCAGATCACCTGAGGTCAGGAGTTCAAGACCAGCCTGGCAACATGGTGAAATCCCATCTCTACTAATAATCCAAAAAGTTAGCCGGGTGTGGTGGTGCACACCTGTAATCTCAGCTACTTGGGAGGTTGAGGGAGGAGAATTGTTTGAACCTGGGAGGCGGAGGTTGCAGTGAGCCAAGATTGCACCATTGCACTCCAGCGTGGGAGACAAGAGGGAAACTCTGTCTCAAAAACAAACAAACAAACAAACAAAAACCAAAAAACCCTGGAATCACTGACCCCAAAAATTCCACAGTTAGGTCAGAAGAAAACAGCAGAAAGGGATTATGAGGGAATCTACACTGCTCTAGCCATACCCCATTCCCTTCTCAGAGAAAAGCCTGGCATTGATTAGATACCAGGCCTGACTAATACTGGCAGCAGAACTAGTGATAATAACTTGCCTGACAGAGGAAACTTCTTCTGGATTGGCAGTTTTGATCTGGGCCCTGGACCTCTTGCACATTTTTTTTCTTTCTTTTTTTTTTTTATAAGATGGATTCTCACTCTGTAGCCTAGGCTGAAGTGCAGTGGCGTGATCATAGCTCATTGCAGCCTTGACCTCCACACGCACCACACCTAGGTAATTTAAAAAAAAAAAAAATTGTTTTTAAATTTTTTGTGGAGATGGGGTCTCACTATGTTGCCCAGGCTGGTGTCCAACTCCTGGCCTCAAGGGATCCTCTCACCTTGGCCTCCCCAGTAGCTGGGACTCTGGGCACATGTCTCCACACCTGACTAATTTTTTTTACTTTTTGTAGAGACATGGGCTCACTATTTTGCCCAGGCTGACTTTGAACTCCTGGTCTCAAGTGATCCTCCCACCTTGGCCTCCCAAAGTGCTGGGATTACAGGCATGAGCCACTGCCTCCAGCCACCTTGCACATTTTTAAGATGACACGTAGTATTTTTCATCATTAATTTAAAATATTATAGTTACTGGCCAGGTGTGGTGGCTCATGCCTGTAATCCCAACACTTTGGGAGGCCAAGGTGGGTGGATCACTTGAGCCCAAGATTAGCCTGGGCAACATGGTGAAACCTTATCTCTACAAAAATACAAAAATTCACCAGTCTCATAACCCAGTCTCAAAATAAATAAATAGATTAAAATTTAAAATAAAATTAAATTTAAAAATTAAAAAAAGAAAAACAAAAATCAATCGTTACAGAGGATGGATACAATTTCTGTCTTTTTTTGAGACAGGGTCTCACTCTATCACCCAGTCTGGAGTGCAGTGGCATGATCACAGCTCATTGCAGCCTCAACCTCCTGGGCTCAGGAGGTTGTACTTTTTGTAGAGATGGGTTTTTTCCATGTTGCCCAGGCTGGTCTTGAACTCCTGAGCTCAAACAATCCACCCACCTTGGCCTCCCAAAGTGCTGGCATTACAGGTGTGAGCCACCGCACCTGGCTGCCTTTAATCTCAAATTCCAGCTTCTACCTAAAACTTCCCTTTTCTCTGAATTCCTACAGCACTTAAGAGTTTGAGTTTCATGGCTCATCCTTGAAATCTGCATCATTATATTAGCAGCTTTGTTTCACGACACTTTAAATAGACTGTCATGAAGTTCCTTGCAATCAGGTTTAGTGTACTTGCAAAGTCAGGCACAGTGGCTCACACCTGTAATCCCAGCACTTTGGGAGGCTGAGGCAGGTAGATCACTTGAGGCCAGGATTTCGAGACTAGCCTGGCCAACGTAGTGAAACCCCGTCTCTACTAAAAGTACAAAACAACAACAAAAAAAATGCCAGATGTGGTGGCACACGCTTGTAATCCCAGCTACTCCAGAGGTTGAGACAGGAGAATCGTCTGAACCTGGAAGGTGGAGGTTGCAGTGAACCAAGATCAGGCGCTGCACTCCAGCCTGGGTGACAGAGTGAGACTTGGTTTCAAAAGATCAGATACCACATAAACTGCAGGAAGGCAGAGACTCTGTTTTTGTTCTGTACAATATAGCCAGAAGCTGGCATATAATAAGAGCTTAATAAACATTTGTTGATTGAGGGCAGAGTGCATTGGCTCCTGCCTGTAATCCCAGCACTTTGGGAAGCTGAGGCGGGAAAACTGCTTGAGCCCAGGAGTTGGAGACCAGCCAAGTTTTGTAGAGACCCTGTCTTTTATAGAGACCTGGAAAATGAATGAACTTGAATTTGAATTTCAGCTACTCCATAAATTTTTGGATTTGTGACACCTGAATTATTCGCTTCAGAATTTATTCATTCATATATGTATTTGACAAATATTTGTTGCATGCCTCCTAAGAGCCAATCACCATGGCTCTTAGTTCAAGAAGATATGTCCCTGACCTTGAGGAGCTCAAGCATTTAGTTATGAAGGCTGTTACAAGGATGGGGGAAAGGAAGTTAGTGTGAGGCCTAGAGGGAGCTGCCAATAGCTCCATAAGGCAGAGGCATAGGAGGCCCTCCTGGGACAGATCGCCATGGGCCTCATCTGCCACTTATGGTAATGTGAATTTAAATATCAAAACTCTAGGATACCACCAAGGGACTGGAAACTGGGAAGAGTGAAGGACAAATCTGCATTCTAGAAATCCTATCCAGGTGGCAATGGGGAGAGGGGTTGACAAGGAGACCTGGTTACTGCTCTTACCTAGTTGGGAAGTGACAAGAGCCAGAATAAGGCAGTAGCCATGACAGACGTGGCCTCAAAAGTGTGGATCTGAGAGTAATCAAGGAAATGCAATCAGTTGGACTTGGTGAGACAGGCAAGGCGGAGGAGGAGTTAAAGGTTAACAACCAGGTAGAAAACACAAAGGCCTCAGCCATGTCAGTAGCCATGGGGATGGAAAAGGAGGGACAGATATGAGAGTAGGAAGGAGAGAGGATCTATTGGATTTGATGATGGGTTTGGATGAGGGGCTGAGAGAGAGGACGTGAATCTCCCAAACACCCAGATCTCTGTCTTGGGTAACAAGGTCAGCGAGTCAGAGATTACAGGAAGAAAAGCAAGTCTGAAAGGCTTTGGGAAAGTTACCAAATCTCCCCGAACCTCAATTCATCCATTTGTAAAATGCCAATGATGATTTCCAGTTCTGAGAGTTGTCATGAAAATTAAATCACCTGGAAAACTGTAGTAGACACTCAATAAACACTTTTGGCTGATACTAATAATGGTGCTCGCTCATGTGCCAAACAGTTAATCCTCATATAACCCTATATGGTAAGTATAATCATTATCTGTATTTTACCAACATGGGAACTGAAACACAGAGATATAAAGAAAATTGACCAAAGTCAATCGGTTAGTAAGTAGCAAAGCCAGGTTCAGAACCCAGGCAGTCTAGCTGCAGGGTCTTTCCTAACCACTTTATTATACTTTTACTGCCCTTTGGAACCTATAACTGGGCTTGAGGGAGGAAGGGAGGAAGTGGCAGGAGAGATGGACAGTCCTGAGCCAATAATTCATTCTAAGAGCAGTTTTTATTTAGAAATGTGCTTCCACAACTTGGTGGCCACCTGGGGGCAGGTGGCCCCAGCTTGCTTGTTCACTCTTTCCCAGCCCAGGGGTTGGGTCCTTGGGTCTAAAGCACAGGGCAAGTTCTCAAGGATCAACACCCCAGACAGTCTCCATGGTCTGGGGCTTGGAGCTGGTATGAAGGGTGAACCAGGTTCCATTCTGGACTGTTTATGGTTGGAGGCTGGGCCCCTGGCACCAGGACCTCGGCTCCCTCTCCTAGTAAGAGCTGGGATCACCCACAGGCCAGCTGTGGCCAGGTCCTGGTGGATATGACATTGGGAAGAACAAGGGGCTAGGAGAGGCTAATTTTCTGGTGCTGGATCCAGTTTATCTTCCTGAGGGGTGGAAGCCGGGACAGGAGCCTCATCCCCACCGTTGAGGGACTTCTGCTGCTCATTGCTGTTGGGCGAAGGGGTCCTGTTGCCCTGGGATCCCCAGCGGGTCAGGCGCTTTAGGGAAGAGTCACGGCGGGCAAGCAGAGGGGGCTGGAAGCCTGTGAAGGAGCTGCTGGTGACCGGACGCTTATCTGGCAGAGAGAAGGCAGGCAAGTAAGGAGAAAGGCATGCAAAGGCGAGAGGCAAGGGGCCTTGCCTCAGCCCTTGGAGGAGAGGGGAGCCTCCTGACTGCCAGTCCTACCTCTGCTGGCCCTAGGAGATCTGGAGGTATCCCTTTCTCCCTCTTTTCTCTCGCCCAGCTCCAGGGAAAGCTCCAGAGTCTATCCCTCTCACCTCCAGGCTCAATTGGATGCATGAGCCGGTTCATCTGGACATTCCAGTGTTTCACATTGGTGCTGGCCTGGCGCAGTTTTCTCTGGGCAGCCTGTGGGGGCAGGGCCAGTGGGGAGTGATCAGAACCATCATCCATGGCATGGAGTCTTGATCTTTTCAGGTTCACAGGCTGCTTAAAATCTGACCAAGACTACTGATCATCTCCCCAGAGAAGAACCATGTATGCTCATGAAGAGTTATTAATATATACATGAATAGAGTTTGCCTCCAATTTCATGGGACTCATGGACCTCCAAAAGGTAAAATGTAACCATAATAATAGTTTCCAACCAATATCCCTGATGAACATCAATGCAAAAATCCTCAATAAAATACTGGCAAACCAAATCCAGCAGCACATCAAAAAGCTTATCCACCATGATCAAGTGGGCTTCATCCCTGGGATGCAAGGCTGGTTCAAC